TATGTCGGTATATATTTGTGTATCTGTATGTGTATGCATAATATCGTCTGTATGTGTGTGTACCTGAGTGTACCTGTGTCTGTATGTTTGTGCATCTGTGTGTGTGTCTGTAAGTATGTGTGTGTGTGTATCAATGTGTGTGTGTATCCGTGTGTGTGTGTGTGTGTATATCAGTGTGTGAATGTGTATCTGTGTATGTTTGTGTATCTGTATGGGTATGTGTATATCTGTGTTTTTATGTGTGTGTATCTGAGTATATCTATGTGTTTGTATGTGTGTGTCTGTGTGTGCATGTGTGTGTATCAGTGTGTGAGCATACATCTGTGTGTGTCTGTCTAGCTGGCTGTCTGCCTGTATCTGTGTCTGTGTGTGAAGGAGGAGAGAGGTGTGGTCTGTGAGGCAAAGATGATGGGGACTACACGTGGAGGTTGAGCTTTACCTTTGAATCGAGACAAAAGCAGGAGGACTATTGCTACATTGCAGCTCCCCATCAGCAATAGACATTTGAAAGCTCACTGTGAATCATAGTGGTCCATCCTTGAAAGGATACAAATAGCCTCAGGCAGCTTTATTATTTTAGTGCCTAAACCATTCCGCTCCTGTTTTCTGCTTAAATAAGCACCTCCAAATGAAGCCCTTAACTTTCATTACACCATGATTATTTTTCTTTTTTGTGAAATATTATTAGATGCAGGCAGACTCCTTCACAATCCAGCCCCTACACCCCCACTGGTGAGATTACAATCGCATCCAAGTGGACTGTTAAGAATAACTGAAGCTAACCGCACAGCACGCTTTGGGCCAGCTTGGAACACTGCACAGCTACTTCAATAACTAATTCCCTCAACATAGATGCTTTTTTCAGGAGCTGGCTCAAGGAGTGACCAGACACACACACACACACACACACACGCACACACAATACATCTATGTAGCAGTACCTGTGTCTGGCTCACTGCTACTGTAACAGTAGCATTAACTACTAATACTTATTTTTTTAAAAAAAACATCATTCCATGGAACAGGGAAAGAAAGCACTTTTGGTGTCAGGACTTTCTGCTTCGATGGTTTGTGAATGTAGAGGTGAATACTCCCCTCTTGGTGTTTCGGTATATTTGTTTCCATTGATAAAGTGCTGCCAAAGACAAGAGTGGCAATGCTGCTGGTACAGAAACTGAATCCATGCGACCCAGAGACGGTCCAGAACATTACATAAATGTCCAAATAAGGTTTCTACTGGAGGTGGTCCAAATAATTACTATTCTACCACTCCTCGAGACTCTCTCCACCCTGTTAGCTCACAGGTCTCTCTCCATTCTGCCACAGGTCTCTCTCTCGCCTACGTGTCTTCCAAGAAGCCCAGTTGGAGATGCCATCTTTTGGGCGAGATGCCAAATCTGTTCTCTTAGATAGATGTAAAGAATCCAATGGCACTCTGCCACACTGGATCTAATTTTAATCTAAGCTGCCCAGCATGAAACAGCCAGAATCAAATAAGCTTGGCATTTTGTGCTTTGCTCCACTTTACTTTCTGTTGACTTCAATGGAAATCAGGTGCGGTGTCACAGAAGCAGCCAATCTGATTCTGTTTGTTAAAAACCAAAAGAACTGCGGATGCTATAAATCAGAAATAAAAACAGTAGTTCTGAGGAAGGGGTTGCCGGACCCAAAATGTTAACTCTGATTTCTCTTCTCAGATGCTGCCAGACCTGCTGAGCTTTTCCAGCAACTTCTGTTTTTGTTTCTGATTCTGTTAGTTTCTGACTGGCGAAGAGAGAGTAAAATTACCTCCACCAGGGAATAAAGCAAGGAAAGCAGTACCATGGGTGCCCATTAAAACTTAGCAAATCCACAAAAAACAGATTAGAATCATACCTTCTATATATAAATGTGGTACATACAGCAAATGTCACACTGGACATTTCGCACCGTGCCACAAAGGAAACAGAGAAACACTCCAGAAATACCAGCTAAGGGTCCAGAAGATCCACAGTCTCGCAAATGAGACCTGAATGACATCAGTGTCTATTCAGCAGTGATTAGATTTTATGGCCTTAAAGGAGCAAATAATCAGCCAAGAAAATACTGCACTCCCCATTTTAAAGTGTAATATTCTTTAATCAATCCTCAACAGCATCATTTTGTAAGGAAGCTTTTATCTGCACAGCCTGGGCTGAGGGAATGCCACCTTCACACTGTATGGAAGTCACCTATTTTTTTCTTTCAGATTTCAAGGGTCGGTAGGGTTCTATTAGATTAACTCACGGATGATGAGAAAATGACTAAGAATTCTTCACTCAATGTGCTAAATGTTAACTTGTAACCATATAAATGTGACTGAGAGTTACCAGCTCCTTTTATTTCACTTATGATTCCTTTCAAGTTAAATAAACTTAAAAGAAAGGACTTGCATTCCTGTTCTGAGGAAGGGCCCCTGGCCCCGAAACATTTAACTCTGATTTTTCTCTGCAGATGGTGCCAGATCTGCTGAGCTTTTCCAGCAACTCCTGTTTTTTGTTGCATTCCTGGAGCATCTTTTATGACCTCAAGATATCCAAAAATGTTTTGCAACAATGAGTTGCAGCTCCAATTGTAATGTCAGAAACATGGCACACTTCAAAGTCCCACAACAATTGTTGTCAATTCTGAAAGCAACCAGACAAGTTGTTAAAGAAATGTTAGTTAAGGATAAATATTGATGAGGACATTGGCACTTATTTCAAAAGGTGTCCACCTGATAGGGCTGACATCAGATCAATGTCACATGTGAAACACAGCACTTCTAATAATGCAGTACTCAGTGCCTGTCTAGACTTTAAGTTGTCCGGAGTGGGGATTAAGCCAAAAGCCTGACTTTGAGGTTGAGTGTTCCTTGCAGAGTCACAGCTGATGCCGTAGTCAACATGTTTCCCAGTAATCCCAATGCGTGCAAAGGGACTATAAGTTCTAAAAGCCTGTGTTTCCAATTAAGATACAAGCTGTTTTATTTAAATTTGTGGTGTGAAATATGGTGAGCACAATATCAAACTCATAGTTAGGCCCACCAAACTTGACAGAAATGTGACTGCAACAACGCAATTCAATGAGTTTGGTTCCAATTTCTCAATTTTCAAAGTACTTAGCAACCAGGTTCAACTATGGACAGCTGAGCTGAGAACACCTTGGCTGTAGAGTTCAGTTCAACGTTTTGACTGGTTTTAGATCTTGGTTGCATTCAGAGCTGACTCATATTGTACCTGTGCATTGCCCAGATTTTAGCTAAACATTTTAGAAATCATGTAGTTGCAAAAATCTAAGCTGAGTGTAAATCAGTCATCACTAATGACAGCATCGTCTGAAACTGGGCAGAAGCCTGATTATGATCCAAAGTTAGCTTTGGCCCAAGTTCAGAGCTTGCTGGCCTCTTTCCAGTTATATTGTTGCTATATTAAAACCTGGTGTATTTATTCAGTCTCCATCATATCTTCCAAATTTTCCTCCTCAATCACAGCCATTTCTATCACTTGCATAATTGCGCTCAATATGAGAGGCAAGAGGTTAATACAGTGTCTGCCAACCCAGCAGGAATTGGCCCTCTAAGTGACAGCACAATGTGACTGGGCTTTTGGAAAGAACTTTCCTTCCACGAGGTACAATTGTGCTCTGCACAGCTCCTCTCATTATGTGCAGCGATAAATGGGAGTAACATAATAATAGTCACCCTCTCTCAATCACTCTTGCCAAGAGTATGTGAGGATTGTGTTTACTCTGTAATAATTCAAACTACATGTTAGGAATCAATGTCACAATTTAACTACTGAAATACAAACGTAAGCACACACAAAGAAATGTGTAGAATTATCCAGAGGACAAGCAGGCCATTCAGCCCAACAGGATCATGGAAGTTGTTTTTAACGCTCCATAAGAGCATTTGCCAAATCTTAGTTCATCTCACCCTATCAGCATATCCTTTGTCTCCTTTCTGAGAAAATTTCACGATCCCATTTTGACAGAGGGAAGCCACATTCATCGGAACTGTGAGTTGAGAAAGTCAGGGTTGCATATCGTAACTAACAACCTCTGACACCCACTACTTAATGTGAGCATGGATCAACCTCTTTAAACATTCATTAAAAAATAATATCAATCAATTAAAGTATGGAAGCTTTGACAAGTGTACTGAAGCATACAACAGTTCGGCATGGACTGGTTGGATCAAGGGGTCTGTTTCTGTGCTGTATGACTCTATGACTTTCTAACAGAAAGGCTGGTGAGAGGCCTGCATTTTGTAAATAGTGAGGACTATGGTACAGGAACACAGAGGCTACATAAGGAGGGAACTGGACAGTTGCAGTTAATTTACTGCAAGTGTTCATGTAGGGTTTTTCATGTCAGAAATACTTTGTGAAGAAAAAGAAATGGACACTAGGCAGAAGGAAAGAAAGACAAAGAGAGACAGAATCACGGATTGGGGTCAAAAGGTTTTTAAGGAAGTTTTCAAATGCAGAAAGGGAGGAGGTGAGACACAGAAACTTGCACAGGGCAGCAGCAGTATGATTGAAAGAGCAAATAGCAATGACAGAAAATAGCAAACAGGAGTCAAGGAGCAGATTGGTATATGTGTAAAAGTTTCAAGCCTGGTCTGAAGGAGAAGATGGAGTAGGGGAGAGATGGTATAAAAGCATTTGATGTTGAGCAAAAAACCAAGACAGTGGGGATGGTGAATGGATAAAAATGCAGATAGTATGTTATATGTGGTGTTTAAGATGGAAGTAGGAGAAACGTGTTAGGACACTTTAGGAAACAGGTTAACTACATGGCATCAGTGCAAGAAGAGTGGAACAGGAATAATGATATTTCATAGGTGATCCTGATAACATAATGCACAGGTACTTGAAGGGATTCTCAAGCTGGGGAGGAATGCTGACACCTCCTGTGGACAGGAATGGGCAGCAGGGCGATGACAGATTGCCAGAGATTTACAATTTGGCACAGTCAGTCTGTATAACTGCAGTACTCACCAATACAGGTACGCCCATCAGTGTGAAGCCGGAAGCCTGGTTTACACTCGCAATAATGTGATTCCAGGGTATTTACACATTTGTGCTGACAACCTCCATTATGGACTTGGCACTCATCCACGTCTGCAGAGATTACAAGGAGGGAAAAAAACATAATCATAAGTCAGAAGAACAAGGACAGGTCAATGTGTGCTGTATAGAAGTTTAATAATGATCAGGGCCAGATTGATAACGGAATAGTCCAATGTCAAATCAATTTCAGTCCAGGATCAGTAACTGAGCTGTACCAGTTCAGGCCTATATCGGTAACAGATCTCTATCAACCCTAGGCCATGTCAGTGCCAGGCTAGTACAAACGCTAGGCCTGCTCCAGGGCCAAACCTGTACCAGTGGCAGACAAGTACCTGTGGCAACCCTCTACTAAGGTTATACCATTCCCAGACAAGTGCATACACCAACAGCAGACCTGCACAGTGGCAGACCAATGGTCTGAGATCATGGTTTGATACTTCATGAGCTAATAAAACATTCCCAATCTGACGAAATACCAAAGATTTCCTTGTATTCCACTCACCTCCATGATGTTTTCCAGATATGACACAGAACTTGTTTGTCTACATAGACTAACCTGGTTTCAGAGCTTCAGATTGCACCAGTTTCATAAATAATTTGAGTAGTTTTGGCAGATTTGCAACCCTCAAGTATGTTAAGACCCTGGAGGTGATCAAGGTTAACACAGTCTCTTAGTTCTGTACAGTTTCTGTCTGAAATCAGTCAGAATTTAGTGCAGTCCACTAGGTAAGATAGCAGGTGGACTCAGAAAATCATGTAGGAACCCATGCATCCAAATCCAAGATACATGAAAACTGTCTAACGTTAAATGAGTAGTAGATTGTGGAAATGTGCATAATCTTGGCTTGAATTCTCTTGCATACAGAAGATTGAGAAGTGATCCATTCCAGTTTAAAATATTAAAAGGATTTAATCAGGTAGCTTCAGAGAACTGCTTCTCCTGGTGAGGTAATGGAAAGAGGCCATTCAGCTCTTCAAGCCTGCTCCGTCACTCAATCTAATCTGCACCTCAACTCTATTTTCCCACTTTTGAACCACATCCCTCGATACCCTTACCAACAAAAATCTGTTGTTCTCAGTCATGAACATTTTAATTGGCCCCCAGATTCCACAGTTTTTTGGGAAAGATTCACAAGTTTTCACTAGTCTTTATGAGAAGAATTGCTTCCTGATTCATTCCTGAATATACTAAGCTTACGATTCCCGTCTACCCTGCTGAACCCTTGATCCTCTCACTCTTCATAGCTCAGTCCCTGTTCAATATTCTTGCGGTGATGTGCCAGCTGTCTTCAGTGGATTCATCTTACTTGCCTTGGGCAGATGGAGGCTAAGGTATCAGACTGTAAACTGCAAATTCAGCAGCAATTAGCTCAAAGTGTTCCAATGTGTTCATTCCAAAATAAATGCTCCAGAAGGGGAAGAATTAAAGTGACAGTCCTCCATCCAGAACTGTCCAAGTGTAACATCTTGAATCAAGGCAGGCACATGGCAACTAGGGTGTTCATTTGAAAGCTGATTATGTTTACATTTGTCTGGAGGACATTTGTACCAACAGGAAGTGTGATCAGTTTGCCTGAAGATTGGGTTTTTAGCTACGCTGCTCTGTTATTTGTTCCCAAGACCCAGTCGAAGCCTGCACTAACACCCAAGCAAATAAACTGATATTACAAGAGGATAAAGTTTTCGCTCCTGATACCCATCCCACCCACTGTATGAAGAGTAGGCAAACTCAGCTGTGAAGGTTTGCAGAGTTACTGAGTGGAAGCCTAGAGGGCTACTGGAAGCAAAGACAGCACCAGCCTTCAGTTTGATGTTGCAAATTTGAAAAGGCCAATGTCAGCCGGCAATTTGGCAGCTCGCAACCTGATCCTTTTATTTCCCCGTATCTCCTGCCACCAAGAGGCATAAGAGCAGCAATGACACACGAATCCCATCAGATTCATTTTACTCACAGTGAACAGACAATTCTGATTTGGACTTACTTTGTACCTGCTCTAGAATGTTTGATGGGATGCTATTTGTTGCACTGTACCTAGTCTGAAACATTCCCACACTGGCGTGGGACAGTGGAGGAGAAGATTTACATTTTAACTAGCCTGTATCTGTCCTGGGAGTGGGTAATGGGTCAACATAGAAGGATCTTTACATTTGTTATACGTTCACTGAGAGTAGAAATAGAAAAGTCATACACTCCAGCACTGGCATCAGGTCAATGTAACAACGAAAGCAATAATGGCATAATTCAATTTATTGAGTTCATGAGAATAAATCTCACAGTTTATGCTCTTCATACTCTGACATCTGGTTTCATCAGTTGCCAAAGAGTATTATTTTTCTCTTTGGAAGATGGCAGCCTGGGTTATAAAATGGTTTTATTAACACTGCATTTATTTCTCAGGTTCTGTCATGCTGATAATATAAAAATAACAGTCACACACCAGCTTTTGCTTTGAAAGAACTTAAATGCCACAAATTAAATCAACATCTGCCAATCTTCAGCTCAGCTTTGCACTGGATTCACAACTCGTTTTCCTGATGCTTTTGAATGAATTGTTTGCAATTCAGTGCTGGCTTACACTCAGTTTTTCCTTTTAATCTTTGTGTGTTAGTTGCTGCCAACATTCAAGGGTAATTCTGCATTGCTCCCTCATAAACATGTTCCTCTGGGAGGTGAAGTAGGCGTGTGTGGAATTTTGCAACAGTCAGCATTTTGAATCAGTTTGTGTTCATCCATCACATTAACACATACAATGAACAATTCTCTGGGCTATTTAATTGTGAACCAAATTTTTTTAAAAAACTTTCAAGGAGAGTTTCAGCACCCTCACAGAGAAACAGGTGGCAGACCTGAATGGGAATCAGGACATAAACAAGACCCTCAGTACACAAACACCAAGTGTCACTGCGTACTGAGGTTCTACCTGTCCTCGGTATTGCTAAGGATGGGACTGACCTCGTTGCCATGCAACGCTCCAAGTAGTTGGACCATTCCGTATCACCTGCCCCTTCATAGAGAAATTAGCAAAGAGAAACACCTTTAAACACAAGTCCATCACAGAGTGGTCAGTACATACCATCCTCAAGACCCTGAGGGAAAAGGAGAGGGTAGATTTTGTCGGGTTGTTCCCTGAGCAGACTGTCAAAGTCATTTGGCAAAATGCCTCATTGCCAGAACTTTCCAACAAGCACCAAAGACATCGTTTGGCTGTTGGTGAGAAGGACACTACCTGTGAGATCCTTCATGTACGCTCGGACTCTCTGCGCCACCGCAAAGCTGCGAGGGTGGGGTAGAGATGGTCACACATCTCTTTCTGGAATGTGCTTTTGCAAGGGAAGTCTGGAGAAAGATGTGGTGATTTTTGTCCAGGTTTGTCCCGAGCATCTCCGTGACACAGAACTCTGTGTTCTATGGTCTGTTCTCTAGGATGTACACACAGACAAACACCAACTGCGCCTGGAGGAGAATCAACTTGGTGAAAGACGCTCTTTGGTCTGCCTGAAACTTGTTGGTCTTCCAGATCGAGGAGTTGACCCTGACCGAGTGTTGTAGACTGGCACACTCCAAGGTTCAGGACTATGTGCTGGGGGACGCACTAAAGTTTGGGGCAGCTGCCACCAAGGCGCAGTGCAGAAAGTCTGGTCTAAGGTCTTTCTGCCAAAATTAAATGGGGTCCGTTCAGTTATCAGACCTGCCCTCGTGTGCTCAAATAAATGTAAATATAGTCTTGTGCAAGTAACAAAATGCCTTTGGTTTGTTTGTTGGACAGGGTCAAACTCCAATGTTTGTTTGTTTCTTCTTATGCTACTGAACTGAACTGCTTCATTGACTACATATGTACTAAAGATATTTTTATGAAGGAAGTATATTTTTCAAACATAAAGATAAGATTTACCCAGTTCATACTTAACAGTAAGGGTAAATTAAAAGTCAGGGTCCATATGCAACTTTGTTAAGGTATGTCTGGGGGAGCTCAGGCCTGTAATTTGCACATCCTGCACTATGGAAAATTCAAGACACTTCTGGTGGTGTGGATGACCATGTGTGCAAGAGGTGCCTCTTGAGGTCCAGGCTTTGGAGCTTGAGTGTTAACTGGGTAGAACTATGATGCATTCATGAGGCTGAGAGGTTCATGGATACCATGTTTCAAGATGTGCTCACCCTGCAGCTTAAGAAAGTGTTTGCAGGGACAGAGTGGTAATAGCAATAAAGGAATCAATTACAACAGCAAGGAGGGATGATATCTTGGAAAAATCATCAAATGGGAGTTTTTTCCTTTATTCATTCACAGGATGAGGGTGTTGCTGGCTAGGCAGCACTTATTGCCCAGAGGGCAGTTAAGAGTCAACCACATTGCTGTGGGTCTGGAGTCACATGTAGGCCAGACCAGGTAAGGATGGCAGTTTCTTTCCCTAAAGGACATTAGTGAACCAGATGGGTTTTTCCAACAATTGACAATGGATTCATAGTCATTGTTAGACTCTTAATTCCAGACATTTTGATTGAATTCAAATTTCACCATCTGCCATGGTGGGATTCAAACCCAGGTCCCCAGAACATTATCTGGGTCTCTGGACTAACAGTCTAGCAATAATACCATTAGGCCATGGCCTCCCCACATTATGTGGGTAGAAATAAAAAACACAAAGGGACAAAGACACTAGTGGGTGTACACCATAGGCCAAACAGTCAGGAGATCGAGGATCAAATATGCAATCAAATTTCAGACAAGCATAAAAGTAATAATAAGAAATTTTAACTACACGCATATTATCTGGGATAATTTAGGGTGTAAGGTCAGGAGTGTACAAATTCTTGAATTGCATCCAGGAGAAAGTTTTTTGGCCAGAAAATTGAAAGCCCAACAAGAAAGATGGCAGTTCTGGGCTTAATATTTGGAAATGAGCCAGGGAAGTTGGAAGGTGTATCAGTATGGGAGTATTTTGGAGATACTGACCATAATTCAGTTAGACTTAGGATAGTTATAGAAAAGGATAAGGATGGGAATAAATTTACAAAGCTATGATTTGGCCCAAGTGGACTGGGTGTAGCT